TCCTTTTTTTTTCTTTCCTCGTCCTTTTCCTCCTCCCCATCGTCCTCCTCCTCCTTCTCTTTATTCTTCATCTTCTTCTTCTCTTGCTTCTTGCCTTTTCTCTTTCTCTACTATTCTAAGGCGACCTTGAGTCTAGGAAACGATTAGAGCCGTGCCTTCCTGCTCACCATCTATTTTTGGTATCATGAATTAGATCTCTTAGATTCGTTCGTCTTGGCTACCATCGTTCGGAATTTGTATTTATTAACGAATTGCCTATTAAATCGATACGGCACATAATTAATTTTTTTTTTATATGAATAGAAGTAGTAACAATATCAAAGTAGGAATAGTAGAGCTTCATCTGCTTTACATTTTCTAGTTTCATTAGAACTATTCTCTATGATTCATATAGCGTTAGACATTATAACGAGATAACGATGTATATCGATGCTAATATATTTACAAGCTTTCTTAGGAGAAAAGGGCCCGGTGAAAGTCCATACTATAATATAACATAAATGACTGCGTTAATTAATTACTCTTTCAACGTGATTTCGAGACATTTACAAGTATAGAAAAGTCCTATATATATATATATATGTAAGATATATATATATATAGGATATATATATATATATATAGGATATATATATATATAGGATATATATATATATATATATATATATATATATATCGTAATTAAGGTTGCTGAAGGGAGATTTAAATAATTATCGATTTAAAAGCGTTGGAAATGGAATTTAGGTCGTGGAAGAAAAGCTTTTTGATAGCTCTGAAACGATAATTTGCAAGTAAGAGAATCATGGCTGGAATGGGCAGCCTTAAGATGATCGCGTCACGGAAGAGAGTCAACGACGTCGCGTGCGTTTGCTCGAACGTTAATATATTAGTTACGGGAGCGATAGTCCACGACGACGACAACGACGAATGAACGTGTTAATAAATAACGTTCTTGGAAGATCGGCTTACTGAGTAGCGATGTCGTAAATCGATGATTAAATAAACTTATGCCATGCTTGAATGCTTTGACACGAATGAGAAAGGCAAGTTCCTCTTTGAGAGGACTGACTTATTTATTCGATTTGCCTATCTTTCTCTTTCTCTCTCTCTCTCTCTCTCTCTCTCTCTCTTTCTCTCTCTCCATTTATCTCTATTTGTTTATTTTTCTTTTTAAATTTCTATATCTTCCTTTTCTTAATTTTTTCAAAGACAATGTTGTTTCTAACCAGTCCAAGATAGGATTAAAATTTCTACAATTTTATCTTAATTAATACTCCTCTCTCGTTATTACAAAAAAATATCATCAAGTTTTACTGATTTATTACGTTACGTTTTTTAATCGATTTATATCGCGCGATCGAACCATTTAAGGGAGTAACGCTTTTGAATTTTGACTTTCACCGATCGAAAGACTTTTTCTTTTCCAGACCAGGGAAAGTTCCGATCGTTTCCACGAGTTTTTCGATCACGATAAAAACGAATAATATAGATGAGACTGATTTAATATTTATACGATTTCTATCTCTGATTAAAAAAAAAAAAAAAAAAAAAAAAAGATATAGGTAGATAAAGATATAGTTACGAGACAAATTACTTGGTAAAAATATTTTTTCGATTTGAATATTTCGATAAAAATACGAGAGATAGGATGAAGATGTAAATGAGAAACTATGAAAAATTATTACTTATCTTTCACAATAAATTATATAATATATATATATATATATATATATATATATATATATATATATATCGAATTATCGATAAACAATAATTATTGGGTAATAATTGCAAGTCCATATAATTTGAAAGATATCCCGATATAAATTGAATGAAATATCGATCGGATAAGAAAATCGATCAACTATATATACTTATTAATAAAAGTTATCAATACGTGTATGTATGTGTATCATTCGTAAAAGAACTATCGTTTATATCGTACATCAAAATTTCATTTTGATGTATAATAAACTGTATGACGTCACGATTCGAAACGAATTCCCGGGTATACGCCGATGAGGAGTAGGAGTTTAGCATCGTGGAACGAAGTCGGACTCGTGTAAAGTAAAAGTCAAGGAACGGTTCTATTGTTGGAGATCGCTCGAGATCTTTCAACGTTGAGAGTACGCGCGACCCAGAGAGAATTCGGAGCGAGTGCGAGTCGACTCTTGCCGCGTTCCGTTAGCCGCGTGAGTGCGCGAATACACACACACACACACACACACATATATATATATATATATATATATATATATATATATGAGATGAGCCAGCCGGTCATCGTACATATATACAGTCAGTGGATGGAACAGGTTTCGAGAGAGGCTTTCGCTCCTCTCGCAGAAGATATGCCCTCAATGGTCTCATCGCCATCCTCTCCGATCTTTACCACTTCTTCTATTCATTCACCGTTTTCACCGAACATTTTATGATCGACGATGATCACCAAGAAATCCTCCTTCTCTTGATAGATTTGTCAAAAGCAATATTACGCGTAATATACAGAGTTAGAAGTTTCTATCTCGAAAGTTTCTAATTAATAGATTACGTTTCTTTTGCCGCAGATATATGACCGGTTAGATATATTTTTATTTGAATGAATTATTAAATATATCTGTTTTATGTCGATGATAAAGAAAATTGACATAATTGATTCTTTCTAAATAAATCTTGAAAAGTTGTCAATTTTTCCAATGATAAATTATTAATCCTTTACGTATTTCGTTTCTACACACGACAGATTCGCCGAAGGAATATTAACCATTATATGACATTATGTTTCTCTTATAGATATAATTGTTCCATTAAATAAATATAATTATGAATTATTAAATATACTTACATTACGTCGATGGTAAAAACTAATAACACATAATCGAATTTTTTACCACTTACTGTTGAGCAATTGTCAATTTTTAATGAATGTTACTATTCCCTTTTAATAATACGCTTCCGTATTCACGATAGATTCGTTAAAAGGGTTATTATACATTCTATAATATTATATTACTTTTTACAGTTTTTGTAATTATTCCATTAAAGAAATATTATCATGAATTAATTGAATTTATCTATGTTATATCGATTGAATAAAAAGGAATGAATTAATCAAATCCTTTGACATAGTTTTAAGTTATCATCAATTTTTCATGAAGACTTAGTACGTCTCATATATAAGTAAAAATCGTATTTTCATCGGTTGGCGAACATCCTTCGTAAAGAGATCCTGCGGATCGATTTAAGGTTCAATAGCGAACCGGTGGAATGCGGTCTCTCGAGTTCGGCGCGCGTGGAACGAGCCGGTCGCTCGTACTTCTACTTCTTCTTCTTCTTCTTCATCTTCATCTTCTTCTTCTTCTTCTTCTTCTTCTTCTTCTTCTTCTTCTTCTTCTACTTCTTCTTCTTCTTCTTCTTCTTCTTCTTCTTCTTCTCCTCCTTCTCCTTCTTCTCCTTCTTCTCCTTCTTCTTCTTGGTGTACCTTCGCGGTAGAAGATAAGAATAACAGACTCATAGGTGACTATACAAACGGTCGAAATTTCAACGTGGAGAAAAGGAGAATAGCTTCGTCTTTGAACTCGTTTGGGTTCGTTTGGTCGAAATCTTTCTTGTACTTCATTCTAGTGGTAAAACCTATGAAAAAGTACGAAAGATCGAAGCGGAACGAAGGTTGAAGACCGCTTTAGAACGTCGGAAACCTGTTCAAAGATCGAAGACACGGCCGTTCCGGCTACATCTGGCGGCCGGATCGGAACGTTGAAAACCTGTTCCACACCGAGCTATGTCGTGTGTACGTAATGGAATGTTGAGCGTAAAGTCGAAATTCTCGTAATCGGAAACGTTCTTGGATTCTCGTTTATCCGTCTTAGTGGTGCGCATCGAACGTGAACGAACGGAAGAGAAGGAAAGCTCTTCTTTTGCTCTTTCCTTTTTCTTCTTCTTCGTCTATTTCTTCTTCGATGCATTTATGTTTTGCTTTTGTCGTCTCTGTCGAAAATATCCGTTCTTGTTTGAAATATCCGTCATGTTTTAAAAATATCCGACTTGATTGACGTTTCGATCCAAATGAAAAAGTGTTTAGAAATTTGATTCTCTCACTTCGGTATGGTAGAAAGTAATTTTTTCTTTTTCTTTTTTTTTTTCTTTTTTTTTTTTTCTCTCGATCTGGCGATACCATCATCGAATAAAGAGGATAAATCTACATGAAGATATAAGTCAAAAATGTTCAGTGATATTTTCTTTTCCTACGAAGTTTTATTTCCGAAAACATCGATGTTGAAGATTTTTCGTTGAAGATTTATCTAATGATTTATGATTTCCAAATACTAACATAAATGTTTAAATTAGATTACTTTTAATCATAAAAATGATCTTTCGTTTGACGACTCTTCTATTTACTGTTACTATTCAAAGTTATTTACACAACGCCGAATATGTCAAATCAGTATTACGAAGTTTTATTCTCTACGCCGAGTATATGTTTACTTATGCGCATTCATCCGTGAGACTTTTAACAGTACGCCATTGTGCTTTGGATCCAATTGGTTAAATAGGAACAAAAAATATTAATCTTTAATATTACCCTTTCAAATTGAATTATTAGACTATGAACCTAATCAAACGGATATCGATTTGGAAAAAAAAAAACAAGATATAAATACAAGTTTATTCCCATAAAAGATCATGATCATAAAATTTCCATTTAAATGAAATTGTTTTCATCTTCGTTCATATTGTAAAGATTTTATCGCGATATATTCTGGGATTCCCAAAAACTCATAGTGATATTTGAATTCTCGTTTAATTGGACGGATTATCGAAATGACCATAACTCATATTGATTAATTCACTTTTTTATATATAGTAGAGACACGCGCGTAAACTAATTAATGCAATTTGCGCGGTAAATAGCAAGGAGAAAACGAGATAGTAGTAATAGATATACTTTTACAACATAAATTTTTTTTAACCTCTGCCATTACCCTTTCATTTACGATAATCTAGATTGGATGTTAATACGCAGGTATATAAGGGTCTGGACATCGTTACCGCCAAGGTGACCAAGGAAGAAAAGCAAATGGCGGTTCATCACATGCTGGACATAGTTGATCCTCTCACCTATTTTTCCGTCATCGACTTCAGGGATATGGTGCTACCGATTGTAATCTATTCTGATATATTTTGTATATATTTTTCTTTTTTTATTCGAGGTAGAAACAAAGCTTTCGACAATTTTCTTTTTATTATCAATGATTTTTAGAATGATCGCATGATCTAAAATATCTTTTTCTTTTTGTTCCTTCCACAATACACCCTCCACCTCCCTCGAATGGCATCGTAGATAAAGAAATCCGAACGAAGCCGAATTTTTTCCAATAATAAAAAAGTAAGAAAGACCTTGATATTTTGCATAATTAAATAGCCATGGTCTTTCTTAATAATTTTCGTAAAGAAGTATAAATTATCCTTCAATTTATAGAAATATTATTAAAGTTACGATTTGTTCCAATGTTATTAAATATACTATTTAAATACCTTATTAAAATAAATTGCATCGTTAAAAGTAAACTTGATGCCGCGTAGTGATCGTTAATTGAATGATCGCAGAATGTAACTAAGACGTTTCAATAACTCGAGAGACGCAACAGTATTAACGATCTTTTAATTACGATATTAATACATTTTATTTATTTATTTGCTTGTTTCCTCTTTTTTTTCTTTTCTCGTACGTCACTTCAATTTTTCTTTCCCTAATCATGAATCTTTTTCATTTTGTCGCTCATATTAAATCGATTACGATCATTATTTCTTTCGATCGATATAGGTGGACGATTTGCTATTGAAGAAGAAGATGCCGATCGTCGTTGGTGGTACGAATTATTACATAGAGTCTGTACTTTGGAACATACTTGTTTCGAAAGCGAAAAAAAATTCTCAAAACGAGATGGATCAAACGAAAATGATTTTAAGCGATAACGACAAGAAAAATAGAGATGGGAACACACAGGAAACGTTGGAAAGAAGTGAAACGGAAGACGAGTCTTCGCCTTCAAAGAAGATGAAGATCGACGGGTGGACGAGCGAGGAGACGAACGAGGTGCTATATCGTAGATTGGCCGAAATTGATCCGGAAATGGCACAGCGAGTTCATCCTAATAATAGACGGAAGGTTATAAGGTGAGTGACATTTTCGTTCGTCTGCACGTAACATCGTTTCGATTGATATTTCTTTCGAGTGATAGATAAGTACATAGATCGGCGTAGATATATGTAGTTTAAAAAAAAAAAAAAAAAAAAAAAAAAAAAAAAAAAAAAAAAAAAAAAAAAAAAAAAAAAAAAAAGAAAGAAAACAAAAAAAAAATTTAGAGCCCGAGTGTGCGTATTAGTCGATAAAGAAAAAGAATGTAATCGTTATTATCTCTTTTCGAAGGTTCTTAAATAGATCATAAACTTTAACATGATTTTAACCTGATTTCGATAATCGAGATTATATATCTATTGATTATTTTTTAAATTACGTCTTTTTTCATGTCAGTGAAGTAGAAGAGCCACGTGTGAGAATTTATAATATGAGCATATGAGAAATACGTATATACTTGGTGGTATTGATAAAATTCCGTGCCATTTAAAAAGCGTTATTGGATTTGTACTAATTACGTCTCAGCGGTAATTACATCTCTCTGCGAATCGATTTTTATTGTAACTCTGTAAATTAACGTACATTTTGTTATGTTAATTTTTATTTAACGACCTTCGAATATAAATCGCAACGAAGTTCATTTGATACGATTAACGTTTATTCCTAAATTCTTAAATTTTATGGGATTTTAAAATCTTATTTCTTGTTCGATCATAAGTTATTCTACATCCGATTGAATTCATTCGAAGTAATTTTCATTGTTCGTTCTTTTTTTTTTTTTTACAAATCATCGAAGATAATTTCCTTACGTAGAGAATATTGTTTTTTATTCGTTTATCGTTCAAACTACGAAGTCTTTTTTTTTTTTTTTAGCTTTGTTGATTTACTTTTGAGATGATTTAAAACAAAAAGAAAATTGATCTATTTATATATTTATAACGTAACTCTCTTGCATTTAACGGAATAGATCGGATATTGTCCTTGATATGGATAAACAAGGTCCGTGAACTGGCTAATATCGTGCGCCATTGTTCCACACAATTGAATAATTAATCTGACGATTACTATTGTGAAAGAAAACTTGTATCCAGTTAAACCAAGCTTATATTAACTGATATCAAAGTCGTTGTGTTTCTATAGACCATTAAATATTTATGACTTCGAATTGGTTGGATTCAATACGGGCAGATTGTAATTCGATTTCGAATATCAAAATGCAGCAAATGAAATTTCAATAATTTTATCCCATAAATACATTTGTTAACGCATATAAGCACATATCTATATAATTTAGTTTATTGTTTTAATTTAACGGCATGATATCTTGGTGAAAATTTATTTTTTAAATACCTCGGGCGATGAGTTTTTTTTTACCTTTTTATCATTTTCAAATTTATTACAGATTTTGGACGATAATGATAAAAGAACACGTTATACAATTGTGTACGATCAAGGTAGTTAATTTCCAATCAATATAAACATCTCATCTTTTCACAAAATTCTATTGCAGTTTCTATTGAAATTTTTTTTTTTTTTTTTTCTTTTTTTTTTTTTTTAAAGTAATCTCGAGATATCTGTTTAGATGATTAAACTTATAGACGAATTATTAGCAAATATCTCTTATCTCTCGTTGTTCATAGATTAGTAATATTTTCAGGGTAGATCGAGCAGAGACAAGTTATCGAAAATGATTATTTGCGTCTTTCAAATTAAAAGATTTTTTACGGACGTATAGTTCTATCTTTCGATATCCATACTTTGATATGCACATGTCTTCTTACATGTACAGTATAGATGAATATAAACGTTGTTAAAGAGGCGAAAGTCTTTCGTGTAATAGTTTCTCGCACGATCACGCATAAGATATATGCTCCTTGATAACGATCGTGCTTTACGATAATGATCGACGACCATGGTCGAAGTGTCGAACTTCTCCTTCGTTATACATTCGAAACGGGATAGAAACGAGGTCGATTCTCTTATTTTCATCTTGGGAAACGTACCAATTTTGCGATTCATCTGCAGGCTAAGTTTCGAATTATACGATACGGAACGCGCGGATTAATTGTAGGCTGTCGGCAGTCGGTAAATATCGCTTTCTTTGTGTCTACGTGCTTCATACTCGATATTCGATAAACTCTAGATAGATATAATTGATATATCGCGATAATGTTACATGTTATTACAATAAAAACTTTCCCGTCGGAAAACAGGGAGCGTATACCTAATATGCATATATCTTTCGTAATTATTTATTTCTATTTTTTTTTTATATTCATTTTACATTCACAAAATACGATACTTGTAATTGTTTGCTAAAGTATCTTTTTACCTTATATATGCAGATATAATATATATTTTTATTTTGTATTGATATATTTAAAACGTGGAAGTATATCAAGAAAAAAAAAAAAGAACTTCTCCTTCGTTATACATTCGAAATGGGAATGAAAAATAAAATGAGACCGATCATTCGTATTTATTTCATTAAGAAAAAAAAAAATAAAAAAAAAAAACATCTTTTAGATTTAAATGAAACATATTTAAAATATTTTACCATAAGCGTGTATACGTTTTCTTTTAAATTGAAAGATAAACAAAAGAGCAAATGAAATTAATTTCGTACTTGAAAGGAACTCTTTCAAATTTGATCGATGAAAGTTTGTAAGTAGAATCCATCGTGATGCTCGACGTTGACCAATTAGGCCGTCGAAAAGCCGGTTGTTGCATTTCGACGTGGGCCACGCGCTTTCACAATAAGATTTTGTGGGTTTCTTTTCGCAGCTGGCATACAGTTACATATATAAATTTACGTACACCAATGTAGAACTAACTTATTTTCACGTTGGAGAATAGAAAAGATGGTCGACTCAAAGGATGGTCAACAGTCGACTAAAATTGGGATAGGTCAGGGAAAGGATCTTTGCGTGTAAACGAGAAAGCCAAAGGACTAGGACAGCTGCGAACCTTTCCTCCTTTTATTAGTATTTCCTTCTTCTTTTTTTTTTTCTATCATTTTTCTTTTACACACACACACACATACATACACACGACACACTTTTGTCCGACAGATGTATCGAGATCTCGTTCCTTTTAACATATTTTATGATTAATGCGAGTCACCGTTGTTACTAATTTTAATTTTATTTCGATTGTTTTTCAATAAAATGTTACGATTTTCGAAAGACTTTTTACGGAAAAAGTCTTCTCTTTTTCTTTTTTTTTTTTTTTTTATTCTTCTATTCTTTGACATATTCTTTTTTCTTCTTTACGGCATATTACAATTTTGCAAATATTGGAATGGATTGCTTCAAATGTTTTGAAAATATTTTTTGAAATTTTTTATAAATGAAATATAGATTACGATGAATGATTATATCTTAAAAGGATCGTATAGTTTATAATGTAATAGAAGAGATTAAAAAATCGTGTTGAGAAGTGTTTCTTTTGAAGTGGTGCACCACGAAATGGTGCAATGTCGTGCGTGATATTCGCGTGAGCACGCGATTAATATACTCTTTTTCGTCTTTTTCGTCCTAGATTTGTAAAGAATAATAATTTATTACCACGAGTAGATGGTTTGCATAAATATCCATTCTCGTCAAAAGCTCGGAAAAAACAACGAAAGTTTCTTATCTATTCATATTGTGAAAATTTTATCAAAGATTCTAACGCTTTGTGCTTATTCAACTTTTCTTTTTTTATATATTTGTTAGGTATTGTTACATATATTATATACAGACATATAAATAATATATTAGTAAATCACATAAATAAATTATTTTATTCAATTTATATGTTTTATTTTAATATACATTTATATATTAAACGTACATATGTATGTATGTATATATATTCAGATTTAAACCGATCATGTAAACAATAAACGTCTACCTTCAAGTCAAAAATATTTCTAAGTCGCATTTTGAAGAATAAGATCTAACTGTGATAGTTTTGTGCATGTATCAAACAACAGTAGATTTATCAGTAAACAACAAAATAAATGAGAATTTTACTGCATAAAATACAAATAGAATATGTACTTTCAAATACGAATATTAGTTTTTCTTGAACAAAGTTGAGTCTCATGCACGAGCACTTTTGCCGCGAGGTACCCTCTTTTAATGTACATATATATATATATATACACACACACACACGCGTGCGCGCACGCACGCACGCACATACATACGTACGTAAGGAAGGCAATTTCGTTCGTGGTCTGTAAACGGGCGTCGATATACTCAGAAAGAATGAAAAAATACATTAACCGAGTTGCTTTCACCACGATGGAAATGTACGGTCATAACGTTAGCCTCGCCTCGCCCAGTTCATAAAAAATAATGCGTTAAAAGATGCGTATTATCAACAGCAAAACACGTGATTCTAGTTGATTTTTAAGACAAAAAATATCTATAGGGGTTTTTTACAAAATGACTTTCAAGTTCGATCGAATATACAAGCGATTATATATATTATCGCTTGTATATTATATTATATAATATATATATATATATATATATATATATATATATATATTATTCACATTTAAATCGATCGTGTGAAGTTAATCTGATAGATCTTATATATTTTTATATTATGTAAGATTCATGAGAAAAATTAGGTCCTTGAGTGATTATTCTAAACTACTAAGCTATCTAGGTTTTTAGGTCGACCTTCTCGCGAATAGTTATAGTATGTATGAAATTGAAGTGTTCGTTCTCTCACATAGCCCATCTATATTTTTAAATGTCATTTTATATATAATACATTTAATATTAACAACTTTTTTTTTTTAATTTGAATAAAAACTTTTATATTCCTTTATTATAAAATGACTCGTCCTTTGAAGCTAAAAACTCATTCAGCGGATAGAACTTTTTGATAGATCTAATAATAATAGTCATTCTTATTTCTATTGCGTGATTTCAGTATTTAAGAAATCAAATTGATCGGTAGCATGCAGCAAAAAGCATTTAAAGCAATTAAATTAAAACAAGCAATTAAATTAAAAAAAAAAAAATTAAGGAAGTTTATT